CAACTGCAGCTCTGTCATCAAACCGGAGGTTTGTGCAGTGGTAGAAAGACCTTTATTTCTTCACCAAATCCCCAAATTCTTTTGGAGGCAATGCACACCCGCTAGTCAAATTAGCCAGGTTTGGGTGGAAATTGCCTTAACTCTATGCTTCATGTTCTCCACAATCATGTTCATTTCTGCTACCTCCCAAACAGAATTTTGAGAAAATTGTATTACAATTATGATAGTGTTACAGTTTTAAATACTTATGAGGTATTGCCCATTAGAATGTGGACTCCATAAGATGGAGATTTTATGTGCTTCATTCTCCAGTGCCTTGAACAGTGCCTGGCACATACTCAATAGTTCTTGATCAATTAATTAATGTGTGTGCGAGGCCCTGTGCTAAGAACGTCATAAGCATTTTCTTTCATTGAGATTCCCATTTTACAGATGAGGAAACTTTGAATTTGCCCGAGGTCATACTCAGTATCTTGAAGAGCTCAGAAAATAGCAGGCATTGCTTATGGCTATGGAGAGCTCATTCATACAGAGCCATTTCTCAAATCTTTCCTTCAGGATGGTGACAGGCTGCCCTTCTGTATCCACAGCTCAGGCAGGGTGCCAAAGCTAAGATGTACTTTCCTTTCAGAAAAGGTACATTTCACATTGAGACGTTGGGGAGAGCTCAGCCCAGGAATGTAGGGCCTAGGATCACCTTGGGAGAGGGAACAGCTCAGGCTTCGAAGGCCTCCTGCCCACACTGCGCTGCCCAGGGTCAGCTGACAGCACTGGGGTAATTCAGATGGGGAGCTACTCAGAAGCCCAGTCCAACAGCCACCCCACCCCCAGCCCTGGTTCCCAAAAGCTTCTAGCTCAGAGGGAAAACAACAGAAGTGCACGGAGATGGTTTAAACCCCAACTGCGAGGAAAGTTGCCTTCATTCCTGAATGAAGAGTTTGACAGTTGCCAAGACGTTAACAATGGACCTTATAATAGAATCAAGACAAAATGGCTTTGCTATTTAATTACAAAACGCTTCATCCAGGGCTCTGCTTTACCACAAACTAAACTTTGGGAGCAGAGACCCATCTGCTCCTCCTACCACATGGTTATGCAACAGTCCAGTGGACAAGCATAGTCTGTGGAGTCAGCATTGCTTGCTAGCCCACATAACTTTGGGCAAGGTTCTTAGCCTCTCTGTGCTTGTTTCCTTGTCTGTAAAATGGGTCTAAAATGCCTTTGTTATAGTGTTCATTCGGATCACTTTTATTAATCTACCTAAGATGCTTATTATAAGCCTGGCATCTGCATAAAGTGGACACCATATAATGACTATGGACTAATACTGTGCCCAGCTCTCCAATTAACCTAAGGTTAAGATGCTAACCTGAAGACATCCAACAAATGAGTGGGAGAGCTAGGAGCCCATCTTCTGAGGCCCTGCTGTTCCCAGGTTTCTGGATGCTCTGTCCCTCAAAGCTAAGTGATGCCATTCCAGAAACTCCAACTGTACTGACACCTCATTAGTTCAATAAATATTTATTGAAGGTCTACTATACGTCAGGTGCCACAATATGGGGATACGGTGGTAAATAAGACAGCCAAGGTCACCGCATTAGGGAGCTTATGTTATAGTTGGGAAAAACTGGAAAAAATCAGTAAAAAAATTTAAAATATACTTTGATAGTCCTGTGACAGAAATAGATGCATATATAAATACAACATGGACCCTTGTACTCATATTACTAAAATGCTGATAGCAACTGTCTAGGGCAAACATGAGAAAAACTTGGATTTTGGTTATCTGCCAGACCTTGTTTTGAATTCAAGCTCCATATGACCTTGGTTTGGTCAATCTTTCTGCCCCTCCTAACTTCAGCAGTAAACAAGAATAGTGACTGTTCAAGTTGTTGAGAATTAAGACATAACAGTTCTGACCGGTGTGGCTCAGTTGGTTCAACATCATCCCATGCACCAAAAGGTTGCCAGTTTGATTCCCGGTCAGGGCACATACCCAGGTTGTGAGTTTGGGTCACGTACACATGGGAGGCAACCAGTATTTCTCTCTCACACTGATGTTTCCCTCTCCCTTCCTCTCTAAAATCAAACTTAAAAAAAAGATATAATGGAACACATAAAATCTCAATGTTTACTATTTTTCACATCAGGCTGGAAACCTTGCTAAGGCCAGGTGGAACTGTAACCTTGTTTTGTGCTTTTTGTTGGGCAGGGGGTGTATAGGAAGTTACCTGGAGAACTGTTGAAAAGGGAAAAAAAAAATATTTGGTTGAGGAGCAATCCCTCTCTGCCATTTGATAATCTTTCCCTCTACATACACCTTTACTGGAGAAATATCCTTGGTCAATTACCATCATTTAGGATTTAATGCAACCTGATAAGAATTACAAGTTACCCTCTATATATCCCAGTAATCTCCAAAACTGGGCATAGAAATAAATTATTAGAACTTCTGTTTATATATATTTTCGATTAACTGCTCTTTAATTCTATTTTTGTGTCTTATTATACAATACATGGGCACAATAGTACAGGTATATAACTTATGAACAGTTGGGAGTAGGCATGATCAAAACTTCTTAATGACAGGGGTGCGCATCCAGAAAACGTAAAAGGCCACATGGAGGCTAAAGTAGAATTAAGGTTAGCCCTCATTTTATTTGCCTAACATAGACTAATGAAGTGCGTATTTCCATAAAGTAGCCTGCAGATGCCACTATACTAATAACCAGCAGAGTGGAGGAAAGGACCCAGTTCCTAAATCCCAAGTTAGTGTTCTTTACAAGTTTCTGGGGGCAAAAGTGGAAGCAGAAATTAAATCCCTGCTGCAGACTAAGTAAAAAGCCAACCTTTGGATGAGCCTTTAAACATCCCAGATCATTAACCTGAAAAATATGCACAAGACAGAGAGGACAATCTTCAGCAGCTTCACACTCTCCAAACAAGAAAACTCCATGTAGTACTTTTGCACTACACCTCATTTGAAGGGAATATTTTTCATTGATTTCCCATTATATTATGTAGTCTATTTTTAAGACACGTGTCTGTCCTTCCTCTCCCCAACTCACACACACATCACTACACACTCCAGCTTCTTTCAAACCATTCACTTCACCTCCAAGGTGACACCATCTGGAACCAAAAATGAAGCAGCAAAATGTTGAAAATAAAAATAAAGCGGACTTTATTTAGAAGATAAAGGTGGTGGTATCAGTTTTGGTTAATAAAGTTGGGCTCAAGTGTTTTAACAGGTCTTCAATGCCATCACAGACTGGCATGCCAAGGGCATTCTAAATGCCAATTACAGATTGAAGTTGTTTCAAAAACCAAGATGCTATCAAAAGCTGATGGAGTTTGGATTTCTTAAAATCAGACTAACACACCTCTTAAATATGAGTGACTAGATTACTTGGTTCTGAAAAGTGAAAACACTACACTGAGCAATTCCCCTCCCTTTCTCCACAAGTCCCTAAGGCAGTATTACAGTTGCCTCTTGACAGCCAACATTTCAACAGAGGGGGGCTGAGGGGAACTGGAAAAATGAAAAGCAAAATTAATAAATGTAATTGTAATTGATATAGGCAGCTGCCACTGTGGCAAACCAAAGCCTAGTCCGATGCCCATTTTCTTCACATTTGCACTGACATCTTCCCAAGCAGACGGTAACTACATTCTTGAAGGAATGTGCCAAGACTAGGGTGGGGAAGGCCCAGACAGAGTGGACAGAATGCACTTTGCATCCAGTTGCCTTAGGTGGTACAATCGATTAAGGACAAATACCCAGACTATGGAAAACCCACTAGCCAAAGGTAACTAGAAAAGATTAAATGCATAACCAGTGCAGAATAACTGCGAGGCACCAAGACCACAATCCATCCAGCCCATTTTCCTCCTCTCCATCCCTGAATGGATCTGGGAGAAAGCATTAATAACAGCACTTGTCAACTGCTTCCCTGGAACAAAATGACAAAACACACGGGTTTTGTTTTCATTATGGTTCTTGGTGTACTTTATTCTCCTGCTGTCTAGCTAAGCAGCCCACACAGGACAGAAATGGGTAGCACTGAGGAATGATCATTTTTCTCCCCAATATTCCTGCCGCATCCCTAAGCCTTGACCAAACCCTGTCTATCAGGAATGGTTAGTATACCCTCTCCCCTCAAGGAACAACTAAAATTTAAACAAGGCATTAGAGGGCCAGGTCTCTTCTTAGGGCTTAAGAGCTGGTGCACTCTATTCACAATGGAGCGTCTTTTCTTCAAATACCTGGATTTTTTTTTTTGTACACTGGTTCATAGATCGGCACTTGACTTTGAACCTGGCACCAAAAGGCACAATATCTGATACCCTGTACAAGAGCTATTAGAGATGCTGCCATATGGATGGGCAAAACTGAGCTAAACCCACTTATGAATGGAAGGCTTGAACAGGGAGGGGGAAATGGCAGAGAAATACATTAAGACCCTATTTTTTGCTAGAATGAAAATGAAAGTGGGAATTTAGTTTTCAATCCTCCAAATACTAGGAAGCATTTAAAAATCTTCCTTGGTGTTTTTGAAAGCAGCATATTCAAAATGCCAGCAAAAACTCTTCTAATAACTGCAAAACCAGAAGAGGACCAAAGCTCATCAACATCCCTTATTGCTGAAAGATTCTAAAACCCAAATTCAGGGTGCCCTGTTCCCTGTGTAAAAGGGAAAATAATTAAGTCTGATTTATGGTTATCACAGCACATCACACTTTTAAAAAAATATTAAAGCGTGTGGCCAGGGGAATGTTTGACACCATTTTATTAATCTCGAACTTCAGTGGAAAAATATAACCTTTTTCAAGTGCCACTTTCATCACAGGAGTTCTAGTCTATATACATATATATATATGTATATATATACTTAAATATATACATATATATATACACATAGTTGGTTAGTTGGTTTTGAAGTGCAGCAAGAGACCAATACCGCATTGCAGTCAATCAAATAAGAGAACAGAAGGCCAAGCAGTTTCCAAATGGTTATTTTATCACATTGTTTGAACATTAAATTTATCCTTGTTTGCAATCCAAAATAGTTACCTGAAGTTTGCTGTGTGTGTGTGTTTACTTTATTGTATATTTGTTTTCTAAATTCTTTGGCACAATTTTCTGAGGGTGTTCAGACTGCCTTGATACATGTCAGAAGAGAACTTTTCTTTTGTGCTGCCAATCTGAGCATTTAAATTTTGGTTTGTTTGGGTTGTGGCTTTTGTTTTTGAAGTCTGCATTCTTTATTTGTAACAATTGTATTTGTATTTTTTCTATAGCCTCTAACTCCAGAGCTTTCTTTTTCTCCCCCCTCCCCCCAAATTCTACATTCACAGTTGAACCATATTATTAGAAAAGGCGCCTTGATGAAATAGATCAGGATGGGAGCTCTGAACATTCGTCAGTGTTTTCCCTAAAAGATAATTAAAAAACAAAACAAAAAACGAAACCTAAAGAGCGTCTTTCCCTTTTTTTTTTTTTACATCTCTTGTGCTGCATCAGTAGACAGAACTTCGGTTAGTTTTATGAAATGCAATGTCTAACCCCTTTTTTTCTGGGAAAAAGAAACTGCAATGACTTGAAGTTGAGAATGTGGATACCGCCTCACTCACACACACTCATTCTCAGACTGTAAAGAATCCTTCACCCTCCTTTTAGCTGACACACATACAGTACCGTGTGGCAAAGGTACACCAAAGGTGGGCTCCAGACCCAGGCTCCATCTTTCTTATCAGTAGCAAAGGCCAGGCTGCCTTTTACAACAAAGCACCACAGCTGAACCCAGTCCCTCCTCCTCGCGCAAACTAGTCATCCCACTCAACACCGGCCTAAAGACAGAAAAGCTAGTGCTAGCCTCTCCTGGGAAGAGACAGCTTTTCTTTTTTTTAAGCAAGTAAATCCATCGTTTTTTCTCTCTTCCAAGATGGCCGACGTTATGGTTTTCTACGAAGTCAGTGCTTACTTAGCTCACTAACAGCACTGCTGTTGGCGGCTGCGGCTGCTGCTGTGGCAGGATTTTCAATGTGGTGTGTTTTCAAGCCTCACTCACTCATCCTCTCATTCCCAAACATTCAGCATCCGTGCACACTCCTCACTTCCGGGTTTTTCAAAAGATTGGAGATTTCCAGTGGGGGTCTCAGGTTATCATCCCAATGGTAACAGATCTAAAAACAGATGGAAAAAAGGTCAATCTTTGAGATCAAATACAGCTGGTAGAGTCAAACATCTCTCTGATTCCTACAATTAATTGCTCAGAGGCCAGAATGGAATTTGTCAACTTTTCAAGGACTGATTTGTCTTCTCTTCCTATGTGCAATTTACCTACTTTCATTAGCACCTACATCAGAGGGTGGGAGGGGAAGTAAAAAGACAAAACTCAAAACAGACAATTTTACTGAGATCTGTAAAGTGAGATAACTGAGTATGAGAGGAAAATAAATTAAAACTACATTGCCAGGCAGGACACACACAACTCTGACTTCGGGTATCTTCTGTAGAGCTAAGCAATGTCCAAAAGCAGTGCAGTCAAGAAAGAAAAGGGCATGGGGAAGGGAATAGTAGAAAAGGGAATTATGGGGAAAATGCCATTATCGATGACTTTATTAAGGCCCAAAATAATGTGGGAACTTCAGTGAATTCTAATTATATTAGTCCTGTTCATCATCACGAGGAATAAAATATTTGGCTCAAGGAAAGACTGAGGTTGTCTGACCCTTCCACTAGCCACTGGAACAAGGCTTAGGAACAAAGGCCCAGCTCAGAAGCACATATATGGGAAAAGAGTACAAAACAAAATACCAAATGAAAGGCAGTCTTGTCAGAACAATCTAAATAAAATGCTCCCTTCTCCCCAAGAAAGTGCAAGAAAGAGGGCAGTAAAGACAAGCTCTTACCAAGCTTGGTTCTTCAGTTTCCTCAGTTCTTTTGTTGCCCATGTAGCAAGGGTTTTTGCTTTGTTAGTCTTTGATCTCCGTCCTTCAGTTAACAGTTCATGGATCATTGGCCTAGCTTCTACTAATTTCAGTACATCTTTCCCAAATGCTGTACATAAGTCCCTGTACAAAATAAACACATCTGAAAATGAGCTCCTGGCCTGGTACGAATATTATGTACTGAGCCTCCCAAACCAGTGTTTAGCTAGCTATGAGTTTCTTCTATCACCCACTTTTATAAACCAAAAGAAATCTTATAAATACTTAAATCCAACACCTGCCCTAAACAGATGAAAAACTGAGGTCTTACAGAGGTAGAAAGACTTATTCAGGTCACTCCACAGTTACTTCACAGTAAAATGTGAACTAGAACGCAAGTCTTGGAGCTTTTCAAGACCAATATTCTTTCTTCAAATGCCTCAGGAACACTTAATAGAGGCTAAGCAGGCAATTCTGACCAACATCAGAATATGGGATGGACAGAGATCTGATGCTAGTTTTATACCTAAGAAGTCACTTTATAAGGAGTTTAGTGGGGATATTAGAAATCTGGAGGGTCTGAAATGAGGCTCAAGTTAATGTCTTGAATGAATGATCATTTGTGAAAACTCAAAACATGACACCATGGGTTCTATGAAAGAAATCTTCTCTGTACCGAAGAAGTGGATAATTACCATCTAATCTACTCCCCCCAATTGTTTTTACATGGCCTCTCACTTCCCATCAGAAGTTAAAGTTAGCTACTGGAAGCGGGTATAACCTACCCTATCAGTCCAGCAGCACAAGCTACGACTCCGTCTGTATGATCCTCATCCCCAGCAATGTGGTCAATGAAAGACAGAATAAATTCTACTCTGGGTTGTACAAGCATCACATCCGCTATAAAAGAAAGAGATGATCTGGTAAACTTGTCCCACATCTGGCAGGACTACACCCCATTTCAAAATTTCCAAATACTCTAATCCCACGAGGCAGGTGTCAAGCTGAAGAATTAGTTGCATATAATTATACCAAAGTATTATTTCTCAGATTAAGGTGCCATTTCTCAAGTCAAAAGAAGCAGATGTTCCAATTCTTTTAAGCTGACATAATAAAGAACAAAGCCCGTGATATCAAAGGGATAAAGGACAAACATCTCCTCAATCAATAATAGAAACATCAGGTGATAGAGGAAATCTGATCCCCTAATCACTGAATTCAGTTGCAAGAGGGGGTGGGGTATGGATCAACAACTGTCACTCACGGGTGGTGCAGATGCAACCAGCACCAACAGCCTTGCTGTATCTCATCCCTTGTAATGTTCAAGAAATGGGAGACAAAGTAGCAAAGGAAGAAGGAACAGAAATAATAAATCTGTACTCTTCCCCCAAAGCTACTTGCTTCATTAGGGCCCAGTTCCTTTTTCTCCCCTTCCTTTAAGCAATAGATCCTAGTTTGTAAGTAAGCTACAGATTGAAAGACACAGCCCATTTGGCTAACTGCACCCTGGACTATGTAAATTTGGTTGTATACTCAACGGTGTACGTTCTCCTGGTCTCCCTTTAATCCCTGGACAATTCCGGTATAGGCTTCCAAGCAGCCTTCCCTTAGCTCATTCAGATAATCCACCATGTCATAGTCTGACTGTAAGACATAAAGAAAAGAATTTCCATCATATTGATCACTTTTATAGTATGCTTGTCAAGAGTTCTGTTCCTCCAATCAGGGTTGGACTGAAAGATAGCTTTGAGCTTACCTTGTCCACCTGGGCTTGGGAAGCCTGCTGAAGAGTATTCAATACAACCTCTAGGTATTTTTTAAACTCTCCACCAATAGCAAGGGCAATATCACCAAACACTGACAGGATCTGTGGCTTCACAGACCTGTGGACATTTTCATTCTGACAAGGAAAAATAACCAGGAAAAGCAAATTATTAAAGGTCACAATCTGTTCTGTCCAAAGACACAAACTTTAAAAAAAAACAAACAAAAAAAAACTATTACTATGCTGGGCAAATACATACAAATTAACAATGGTTCTCTCTGGATAGAGGGAATATATATCTACTTTTCCTTGGCATTTTACTGGTTTTCGTCCCCAAGTTCCATGCATTGAGCATGCATTTTTTAATTTTATAATTTTACTTGTAGAATCATCTTGTGAAAACAAACAATTCCTTTCTTCATAAGCCCACAGCCAACATTCTGGGAAATTAAAGCTCCCTATCATGGATCTTGGTGTTTAACCATCTTTCCAGCTGATGAGTTCTTCAAACGCTGGTAAATTAGATTGTGTGTGTAGACACTCACCCCCAAGTTCTCCAGCAGAAGCTGCATCACCTCGTCACAGAAAGGTAAGATGTTGGATTGCAGGGCACGGCACAAGTCTCCCACTAAGCCCACAGCTGCCAAACAAACCTGCAAAGCAGCAAAAAAATGATCTCTCAAACAGAAAAGACTACCTGCAAGCAGCAGTAAGGCATTACTTTTACCTCACTGCTGGTCCTTTACCACTTGAACCTAGAGTCAAAGAAAAAAAAAATCCGTCCTCTCTGAGATTTAACAAATATGGCAGGAAGAGAACTAAGACTATGAGATATCATTAAGAAAAGACAATATTCACTAGGGATGGTAGTGGCTAAGGCAGGTGGTTAAAAAAAAAAAAAAGCCCTGCCACTCAGGCACTACTGTTTGGGTACCTCCAATATCCTGTTTGTCACTGACTACTTTTAATTCAGACACTCAGAGAAACAAATAAAATTGCTCAATTCTTGGGTCGATACAGAGGGAAGAACCACCTGTGCTACAGGAAACTGAGTTTGTACCACAATGACTATCAGGTATAAATGAGAACATAAATGTATTATAACTGATCCTTGAATGATGTGGGGGTTGGGGTTCCAATCCTGGCAAAGACGAAAATCCGGGCATCACTTTTTCACAACACTGAAGTACACTGCAATGGCAACAAAGGTAGCCATGAAATTATATTATTATTATTTTTAAAATATATCTTTATTGATTTCAGAGAGAAGAAAGGAGAGGGATAGAGAGAAAGAAACACCAATGATGGGCGTGTCATTGATCGGCTGTCTCCTGCACACCCCCGACTGGGGATCGAGCCTGCAACCCAAGCATGTGCCCTGACTGGGAATTGAACCATGATCTTCTGGATCCTAGGTCGATGCTCAACCGCTGAGCCACGCCCGGCCAGGTGAAATTATTACAGTAATACAGTGTGTGCTTCAGTTAATTTCATAGTTATTTAATACTGCATCTTTATGTTTACATTTCTCGACTGAATGACACCATGTACAAATCTGTGTACATAAGTTTTGAAATTTTAACTTTTCATAATAGACTTAAGTTTTATGATAGTAAATGATAAAATAAAATAGTCTCTACATTTTATGCATTCATGACATACCAAATTTTATTTTAATTTTTCAATATTTCTAAGCCATGGGGTCCATGTCTGAGTTAAAAAGGCCAACTATGTTTTAAAGTGCACAGCCTACCTGGTATTCAGCATAATTTTTCAATCCAATGCCCAGGAAGGGTTTAAAGGCCTCCATGTACTTTAGGAATTCACCACCCAACACTGTAAACAAACAAACGATTACTACCACAGGATATCAAAGAAATGGGCAAAAATAACCATCTCAGCTCTCCCAAAATATGTTCACTCCACTCAACAGATTAGGTAGAATGTGAGTTAATTACTCACTTTATCATGAAGAGATTAAGGCTTCCTCAAACCAAATTTTAACTGCCGAAAGGGCCTAGTTCTTGGGCCCTGGAGATAATGCCACATTGCCACAGAATAGGATCTCACTCTGGCTCAACCAAGTGGTATGGCCCTGAAGGAATGTCAAAGTTAATTTGAATTGGCTGGGCTAGCAATATTGCCTCTTGTCTACCTCTTCTGATTGTAGCATGTCCTCTTTGGAAGCCAGCTTAAAATTGGGTCCCCAGGCAATTCCATTAAGGATTTACTTAAGCTAGTCAGGAAAAGCAGACTGGGCTTCATATCCAAATCAGCCACTCCAGGAGCCAAAACGAACTGCTATGTTCTGTTATGGTGGTCACATGATGCCAGATCAATTAGGGATATGCTCTTTAAGCTAGAAATAGGTCTGGTCCTCAGGGGAGTGATTCTCAGGTAATGGCCTTAGTAGTACACCTTACAGGCTACCTCTTAAGAAGCATTCCAGGTTTCTAAAGTGCTCTTTAATGACCCTTCAAAGAGTCTTTAAGTCTGACATGGCTTCCCCAAAGCAATTATGTGTAGTGAGATATGTAACAACCAGAAATTCTTAGAACTCACTCAGTATTTCATTCCATCCCATACCAGGCACTATGATGTGTCAACCCGAGTCCAAAGTGTTACAACCCAAACAGCAGGTACCAAGTGCCAAGAAAGAAAACAGTAACCTTTGCTTCCTCCATCCCTGACAGGCGTCAAACCTCAATAAATCAAGTAGGCTTTCAGGGAAAAAAGAAACCTGATACACATGAGGTAGACATGATCCCCGCCCCCCCCCAAAAGTTATCAAGAGTTGCAAACTGGCTCCCCATTTAATTCAAGGAGAGTGAGTGGCAAGAAATCATGCACAGATTTACAATTATGTTCATTTGAACTTTGAACTGACTCACACTGCAGTAAATGAGAAAACAGAACTATGCTTTCCACAATAAAAAATTCTTCATGGCCATCGTAGCTCTTGCTTTCTAAAAACATTCCCTGCCGGATTTTGGCTCACTGACCTTCCACTAGTGTGCTAACTGCCATTAGGGCATCCTCTTGAACTCCCCCAGACCCAGCCGTGCTTTGGAACATCCTTAACAGGGAGGCCATGACGACATCAGAGATCTGCAAAGCATCTTGATGTTGCACTTTCCGAAGAACATTCTGTGAAATGAACTAGAGTTCAGGATCTGTTGATTCCAAACCCTCTAATCAGAACTCGGTACCTTTTTAAAATCAAGTAAGTCCCCTGAAATTTTTTCTCATTTTTAAAAAGCCACATATACCTTTTATGCTCAAATGTTTTGATAGTGCAAATCATTTCCAACATACGTTCTAATATCCCTTTTATTTCCCAATTCAGAACACAAAAAGATGATCTTCCATGGTGCATAAAACAATCTCTTTTCCCCTCCTCCCCCCTTCCACTCTCTGAAAATCAATGGAAAAAATATCCTTAGATAAAGGTGAAAGATCATGTCATAGTAACCTTACTCATAAAACAAAAAAACCCCACAACCCTTCATATATCCTAATTCATTTACAGGTAATGGTCAAGAAACATTCTTGATAAAATGAAGCCAACCTGACCTTTCCTAATTTAATATTCCTCCAACTTCCCTCCTTACCCTTAATTTGTCTCAGCTAATGTTACTGAATCATTCCTGTATTTGATGAATAAGGAAATACCTCAACAGTCATAAAAAAATTAAATTTGAAGAAAGAGGGGAGTTCACAGGTAAGATTACCTAGTAAGCATCACCCAATACTAAAATATAGTACCAACCTAAGCATCAGACAAGTTCCAGGGTTTTCCTGTTCTTTGGTAAAAAAAAAAAAAAAAATCCTCAGCCACTGCATGACTTGAGTCATGAATGAGGAGTGACATTTTATTTTAATTATCCTGTCCTTTCAGAAAAAGTCTACTGTGAACACTAGGTACTATAAATGATATAAATTAATAAAGTTCCGAGCAGCAACTGCTGTTTCAAAAAATGACAGAAACTCAAGGCTTTATTTTTAGCTGGGTGAACTACAGCTGGGAACCAAATCTGACTGGGCTATACTTGGAAAACCCAATGAAAATCAGATTAAAAGTAGCCCCAACACAAAACAGTTATAAAGAGGCATTCTTATCAGTCTGCCGAGATCTTGCTTCCAGGTGTATCCTGTTTGACTCAAGTAAATTCATAAAAATTCAAATAAACAAAAAACACCACACAGCAGGGAGGACCATCATAAACCAAGCAGTTTCCTTCCCTACACTGTGCAAAAGACAAATTTCGTCTTTATGGACAGAGAAAGGAAACTTAAAAATTATTCTCCCAATCAATCACAGACCAAGTCATTTAGAGAAGAGCTTCTGATCAGATCATCACCATCTATACCATTTCAGAGTTCTGGGGGTACATAAACTTGTTATCCCAGGATATGATTCTTTTCCTTGGAGAGAGTGATATGGCACCATCATACCTGAAGAGTTGCACAGAGTAAAGACTGAAGGTCATTGAACTGGATCCTATCCGATGTGCTCTGGATATGTGACTACAGGGGGGGGAAAAAAAATCATCATGTTCTGAGTAAACACCTTTAAATATTTTTGTTAAAAAATACATTTTTATTGATTTCAGGGAGAGGGAGGGAGAATCATCAATGATGAGGGAATCGTCATTGATTCGCTGCCTGCTGCCTCCTGCCTCCTGCATGCTCTCGACTGGGGATCTAGCCCCACAACCCAGGCATGTGCCCTGACTGGGAATCGAATGGCAATCTCCTGGATCCTAGGTCAATGCTCAACCCGAGCCATGCCCGGTGGGCTGAATAAACACCTCTTAAAGAGGCTCTAGCCCAGCCGGGCGTGGCTCAGCGGTTGAGCGTCAACCTAGGATCCAGGCGATAGGGGTTCGATTCCCGGTCGGGGCACATGCCCGGGTTGCGGGCTCAATCAATGACTCTCTCATCATTGATGTTTGTGTCTCTCTCTCCCTCGCCTTTCCTCTCTCTGAAATTAATAAAGATATATTAAAAAAAAAAAAAAAAAAAA